GAGATACGATGGGTTTTGTGGGAGGAGGAAACCAAATTTTTAAATATTATTCAGACGAGATGAACTACGCGTCCCAATATTTTTCTTATATTATTATAACGTTTTCAGCACATCCTTGTTCTACATTCACAGCCATGAGATCAAAAGACAAGTTTTCTCAGATATATTGTCGTTCAATGCGACTTCACACAGGATTTGTATAACCTATTCTGGTGTTAGTGTTTATCCCACCTCAGAAGATCGCAGGGCTGCGTACTGTAGGCGACAGGAAGTTGGAAGGAGCAGCCAGCACCAGCTGCAGATAGTACAGAACCCACGAAAATGATAACACGTTGATTAAATCCTGCGATGAGTTGTTCCCGACAAGAAATTTACCTGTAATGCTGGCTGCATAGCCAATACGCTTTGCCTAGATAACGAACCCAGAATTAAATCCTAATCAAAACAGACCGGAGGGTAGCTAAATAAGATGAAATCTATGCTGATGATTAGCGAACCGATTTAGACCGGAGACATTTCAGGTTTTGACGGAGACAAGTATGAAAATGGCAGTCTTCTGCAATGTTGTGCCGTGCAGTCTGGGAAGAACTGACCTACGTTTCAGAGGTACGTATTTCCTCCACTATCAGTTCATGTAATTTCTATCAGACTACACGACACAACATCGCAGAAGACAGCCATATTTAATTCAGACCGGTTCACAGCCTCACGACGAACAAGGACATCGGTCATGTACGCCGACAAACATGAGATCAACCGCAACATTTTGTATATATTTCGTGTTTGCCGTGAGACATGATTTACCTCCGGTCATTAAGCAACAAACGAAACCTACATTCAACCAATTCAGGCCAATTCTTCAACTCCAGTATTTATAAGATCCAATTAATGTGATACCAGCACAAAAATGGTCTGTTCCCACTCCCTGAAACATTTCCTTCCGTAGCAGCAAAAGAGTTGGCCGTGTACGGTACCAGGAGCAAGGTCACAGCGCAGTGGCACACTTTATTAATATATTTCTGTGATGGCCTTTTCCGTCCTCTGCTCTCCAACTTGGTATGTTCTCTGGACAAGGTAAAAAGAGTTCGCAGTCCCCACACTGCCTAATCTCAACACCATGGCGCTGTGGTTTGCTGAGAGGACATACTATAACAATTTGAACTGAGGTTTTTCTCGAGGCTTTCCCATTTTAATATCATTCAACCGCACAGGACAGACGAGTATACATATAAGTAGATTTATAAACTCTACAAGTAAGTGACCTGGAGAGTTTTGAAATGTGGTGTTGGAGAAGAATAGAGAAGATCAGGTGGACGGATCGAGTGATCAACGAAGAAGTATTGAGGAGAGTCAACGAGCAAAGAAACATTCTGCAGGCGATTACACGAAGGAAAGCTAACTGGCTGGGACATATTATGAGAAGGAATGGATTAATGAGTGATATCATCGAAGGCCAGGTTGAAGGAAAGCGAGGACTGGGAAGAAGACTGATACAGCTAACCGACGACCTTAAACAAGGAAAGAAGATGAATTAAAACGAGAAGGAGAATAGGGAAAACTGGCGAACTCTTTTTGGGCAGAACAACGGACCTGTCGTAAGACAGAACACTGAATAATAAGAATAAATACCAAGTAAGTGGCATTCTACGTGGCAACAAAGATAAAATTGGGTCGGACATTGCTCTGTCGCCACCCCTGTTCAGTTGTCAAGCGGTGCCAATAGTTGGGTGCGATTAGGCAGTACCGCGTGTCGCATGGCAGTTTCTCATCACGCGGGCCACGTGGAGGGCCCGCCAACCACTTTCTCGATGTGTGTACATCGGTCTGTGCTCGGAATGGACAATTAGCTCCACCTGAGAGGGGCCATGAGCTTGGGGCTCAAACTGGGAAATGTCCTTACATTTTACAAGATTATTAACGAAACTTTCAAACCCTATATTGAACGTGCTGTTGCAGGATACAAAGTTGCGTTCTGAACATTTATTTCTTAATAAAGTACAGCGTACTGTGTCAGCTGCATACACAGAACGGCGTGCTAGAAAATGGCACGGAAGGAAACGAAGTGTATAACAGCGCTTCCTGGCGAGACTGCGGGGAATTACAAACCCTACTGACATTGAGGTTCTCCGGCCGATGCTCGAACCAGAGCACAGAAATGGTTTATACTTTTAAACGTTTCGCAAAATAAATTCGTCATAAAATATATAATAAAATTCAGGTCAATACACAAAACTTTATTTGGATGTTAAAATTTAAAATTTAAATGTTAAAATTTAAAATTTTAAAATTGCGCCATTCATCACTATAAGGATTTTACAATAGAGAAGCGCTCTATTGTAACATCCTTATAGTGATGAATGGCGCAATTTTAAAA